ATCGTAATTCAATTAATGATTTAACATTTTCTTCAAAACAGCCCAAGGTCTGACATACCTAAATTGATTTTTTTAATGACAAGAGGTTATAATAAGTAGGAAAATTAGCTGCAATTAATAAAATAAATCTAATATACATAAATAAATCTATATATATGCGTATGTGTACGTATAATATATGTATATTAGATTTATTTTATTAATCGCTGTTAATATCAGTTAATTTTCCTACTTCTTATTTCACTTTTGCTTCTTTCATTTTTTTTCTAATGCTACGATCGCTTATTAAAGATTCGATGAAGTCTATGAGAAAATAGGTGTGCTTCATTCCACTGTGCGTCAATATGCAACAGCCATTTTTCTAAGTTTCTATATATTGCCTATAAACAATCACGAATATATAAAAAAATATATATGTATGTATGTATGTGACAAATGTGCGATTCAGTAAATGATAATTTATTAAATCATAATATATATTATTATTATTTATTAAATCATAATACATGTATTATGATTTAATAAATTATCTATTACTGAATCGTACATTTGTCAACATCATTTTTCTTATATTACTATTTACCTACAATTACCCAAATAATAATTTTAAAGCTGTCTAAGTTCTGAAACAATTACTAAAAGTATCTCTACTGTCCTTTTCCAAACGATTGTTACCACCACAGCTGTAACTTTGAAGAACGTCATTATTAATCCCTTTAAAAAAATAAACCCAAATGTTGCTCAATAAATGCACCAAGCTTGTGATCACGAAACTTAACAGTTTAAATTCGAAAGATCTTTCGAAATCGTTTCGCCAGAGAACCAGGGGAAAATCTAACCTTAAACTGTCGCGTGCAGGCAAAGTGGAACGTACCAAACGGTGAAAGAAAAACGTATCGAACGGTGGAGAGAGGAACGTATCGAACGGTCAAAGAAAAACGTATCGAACGTTCAAAGAAAAATTTTATCAAATGGTCAAAGAAAAGTGTATCAAACGGTCAAAGAAAAATGTATCAAACGGTCAAAGAAAAATGTATCAAACGATGAAGGAATCAGGGAAAAGGCGGCAGAGAGGGGAATATTCACTAGGGTTGCCGAAGACCCATCGATCGGATCTCGATCCTCTCCGTCGCCGAGGAAAGGGGCGGACGAAGTTCTTTGCGAAGTTGCGAGCAACACTTGCTCCAATTTTGTAGGTGGAACGACGTTAAAGGCTAAAGGAAATAGGGAACAACCCAGGGGAATCCCCGGTGTAAGAAGAATTAACGGGAATTCCACGGGATGACTCGCGAACAGAGGGAGGCGGAGGGAGGAAGGCCGGGGACCGACGAAAACGGCCGATTCGTTCCGGCAAATCGCGTTCGTTTTACTTGCAAATCGTTCGAGATTAGCATTGCAAGGGGAAGAGGAAGCGACGCCGCCTCGACGTCGCGAGCTTTTCGGCTCTCGTCGCCCCGGGGAAAACTTCGCCCCGCGTTTCATCCTCGACGAACTCGACGGTATACGCCAGCCTCGATCTCTCGCTTTCTTTCTCCCACGACGATTCGGTTAGCGGAGTTAATAATCCAGCAAATTTGTTGGCGAACGGTAAATACCGGATTGTAGTTCCGTGGACCACCGCATCGCTCCGGGGAGTTCCCGTTTAATTGCTCGTCTCTTCGTTCTTCGGGTTTCTATCATTTTCCCCCGACTTTGTCGGGTTTCGTAAACTTCAAAAACGAAACACGGGCCGAGTACGAGACAATCTACGTGTACGTAATGTGCCCTCGGTAAACGCAATTTCCGAGTTGTCATCGCGGAAATCTTGCGAACACTCTTATATCGGTTCGGGAAATTGAAGGGTTTTATTTGTTAGACTATAATTTTATATATTTGTTAGACTATAATTTTATATATTTGTTAAATTGTAATTTTATATATTTATTATAGCCACGCTTTCATCTCTACGACCTAACTTTTTTCTCTCCCACTCTTACTACACTGGGCCCGTAGGTCCCCTTATTCACACTAGACGTCTCTGCATACTTATCCTAAATGCAAATGTACGCACATCCTTACAACAATAAATAATTGTATTCGTCGTAATGATTAAATATGATAAAATCCCGATAAGCACTGGACGTCTTAAGGACGTCCATTTTAGGTCTGAATGTCATACGCCCTGAAATGAACGTCTTCGAGACGACTTATTTCATACGTTAAAATGACGTCCAACTTGGGACGTCTTTAAGATGTCTTAAAGACGTCTTTGTGCAATCTGGGACGTCGTCGAAGGAAAGATATAAATTTTCTAAACATCGTATTACAGTTCGAAATAATTATATTCAGAAAATTAATTTGATGTTCTCTACGTGAAATACAAAATTGTACGGAATGTGTGTTAAAGAAGGCAAACCTAACCTTCAATTAACAAATATCGTTTCTCTTATCTTGGTTTGATCGCTTGAAAGAATGATGATTATTTTAGGACGATTAACCAAGTAAACAGCTGAGCGATTAGACGAGCAAAAGGAACGGTTAAAATCGCAAAAGCAAAGAAGGTTTGATCGAAGCCAACAGAGACTTCGTCGATGGAAGATCCGCGATTTTGTTTCCGCAACAAATTCGCTGTTTTACGACAACCGAAAAATACGGACTCGCAAATGCCAAAACGTTTCAAATTTGGAACGGAGTCAGGGAAACGGGAGAAAACGTCGGCGCTCCTCGTCTGACGTCCCGTGATTCGGTCTCTC